TACCATTATATTTTCCTTACATCACAGTGAAATAATAACTACATTAACTTTGCATTTGTCAAAAAGAGGCAACATACATATTGATTGCATGGTTTGGCTAGCTTTAGCTAACATGGGCACAAACACAGTTGTCTGTAAAGTAATAGCCTAATTGTCCATCCTGCCACTAACCATTAATTGAATGAAAAACACTTATTTTCATTAAAATAACACATTTTCGAATGCTTACCTTGTCTAAAAGCGATTTCCTTGGGCCACGGACCGTCTTCACACTCGAAGCGATAATGGCGGATGGCAAAACGCCGGCTGGCGCGAACAAGGAGTTAGTTGATGTGACGTCATGTGGTCACATGACATGAAAACTTCTGGTTTAAAGTAAAAATACTACTCAAGTCAAATTGTTGCTTTTAATTTGTTCTAGGGGGTTCGTTATTTGCTTTAAGGCAAACTGAACAAAACAGGTTTAAACCAGAAACCATGATTTTCACTTAGTCCAATGTAAAAATGCACTTTAAATGAACAACACAGTAGTTTCACTTTTTTCAGTGTAGGCTGATGTGAGTTTAACATTTTTCTAATTTAATTAGAAGTAATTTAAAGGGGTCCTATTATGCTTTTTCACTTTTTCAACTTTAGTTAGTCTGTAATGTTGCTGTTTGAGCATAAAAAAGATCTGCAAAGTTACAAAGCTCAAAGTCCACTTCAAAAGGAGATATTTTATTTAACAGAAATCACTTTTTAAAAACTACAACGAACGACTCGTTTGGACTACAACGCATATTTTCCGGGATTTGTGATATCACAAATACCGACGAATGGGACGAGACCTGGTTGAGCTGCACTAGAGAAGGCAACGAGTGTTATCACTATGTCGGAGACACGCTAGGCAGACAAACTTAGAGTGGTTACAATCATCCGGGTTTAAATCGCGCTCAGATTGATTTGATTTTGATGCAATATTTACACTGAAGCTCGCAGGCGGCTATGGTAAGGGGCGTGACATTTCCCGACCAGGCGCCGAGTGCTGCCAATCACAACACACACTGGCCCAGCTAACCAATCAGCACATTTCGTGTTTCAGAAGGCAGGCCTTCGTTTGATACAGGAACTATTCGAGCCGTTCATGCCAGACTGGAGAGAGAGGTGTTTTAATAATGTAAAATATGTTAAAAATAATGTTTTTCGAACAACCTAGTATGAGAGCCTGATCTAGTACACCCCCAAAACAAAATCAAGACTTTGTAAAAGAGCATAATAGGACCCCTTTAAAAATTTTTTTAAAGAAATGCATTAATCATGCAGTGAGGTATGCATGATTTTAACACTCATTCTATGCGGATTGTTTTTTGGACTTTTTTTTAAATGTTAATGAAAATGTTTATATACATTATATTAGAAAAAAAACTTGTCCAGTGAAATTAAATGGATCAATAAATGTGTTAAATTGTAAATGGAATTAACACAAGTATAGCAATAAAGGAATTGTTTTTTACAAACAATCATATTAAAGTTCTATTATTATGCACATTATCTTTCCTTCGTTTTAGCATTATACGTGATATAAAACTTAATGTGATCAATTATGTTTTCACTCATTGGTTGCTAAGCTGAAAGGTAATCATTTACAAATTAAAAACAGATTTTTTTATGTATTTACAATCATTTGATCAGGGATACAACAAAGATTACTAACTAATCTCTGTGCAAATTTGTCAAGCTGTTGCTTTGCAAAGTATAGATTACATATGTACATGATAAACATTACAAGTACTATGGTCAATTTGTGTAAAAAGAGCACAAATATTTGAATTTCATCATGAATCAAAAAGGATAAAAGACAATTGCTGTTAAAATGTTGCCATATAAATTTTATTATAACATTGACAAAATATTGTCACATACTATTTTGCAACTACTGTGTTCATCTCTGATACGAAGTCAAAGCTTTTCTATGGCAAGTCAAGAAATTATATTTAATTATACAATAAACCATGATTTCTACTTATGAATATCTTATGCTATGAAGATGGCCGTAGCAATTACTGTGTAAAATCATATAACCTTTACACCTGTACCCTTAATCCGGTTTAGAGATAGTGAAAGTGGTCAGTTGTCAGTAAGTCTGACAATATTGTGAAGCACTCAGAATATACACTGTGGCAAATATACACTGTGTATATTTGCCAAACCAACTACTCTCTTGACATCACAAGACATTTTAAATATCTCTGGACTTGATCTCAGGAAGCAAAATTTCTTCTAACAGTCCCCATTATAGACCCTTCTCCAGAAACACTGGTCTTTACATGTAAATGAGCCTGTTTATTGTTTTACACCGTTTAAAGAATTAAATTACTTGTGGCAAGACAAAACCATCTTCATCCGCCCAGGTTTTGTTTGCTAAAACCATCTGATTCTTTTGCATCCTCCATTTACAGGATCAGAGGTTCACATGTTGTTAAATCCCATCATGCCTTTCATGTTGCCAGCAGCTCCCTGCTGAAACTGCCTCATCATAGACTGCAGTCCAGCCATGCCACCTTTAAAAAACAAAGATAAATGTCTTTAAGGCTTTTACAACCATCACCTATATTCAAAGATCCTCACATATTTCACTGTGATACGTGACATTTAAAAATCCAATTTTGATAATTTCAAACAGGTTCTTGCATGCAATAACTGCCCCATGTTTAGTGAAGATAAATCCAATACTGCTGCCCATGGTCTAGTAAAAACTAAAGCATGTTAGGGTGAAAAGGGAGCTCATACCCATGTGGTGAAGCACTCTGGGATCCATCATTTTAGCCATCTGCTGGTTCAGTTTCGCCATCTGTGATGGGTTGACGTTCTTGGACATGTCCCCTCCTTTAAAACAATGAAACCATGAATCACTGATTTTAAATGCATCAGGAAATGAACACAATTTGAATGTGTCAAGTTCAGATCACTCAACCTTTAAATAAGCCTTTAATGCCTCCCATCTTTTTGACCATCTGTGCGAACTTTGTGTACTGTGTGAGTAACTCTTGTACATCCCTGGTAGCCACTCCAGATCCCCGAGCCACTCGCTGGATGCGGTTAGGCTGTTTACCGAAGAGCTTTGCACCATCTTTGTTGTCAAGTTCTGAGATGAAAAACCAGTGTGTTAAACTAAACCGGTATAGTTCAGAACTATACCTAAAATTGTCCAATTTAGAGAAGTCAGTGTATTATTCCACTTTTAGACAGTGCTAAAAGGAGAAAAAAAGCACATACCCTGGTCATTCATACTATCCATTATTGTCATGAGTTTCTTTAGTCTGGCCATAGACTCCTGCTCATTTCCTTTGCTCATGAAATCTGTTCCAAAGCCTGGGATCATTCCCTGAACACATACAAAGAAAAACACAAATGGTAAGAAAATAACTAGTCAGTGGATAATCATAATTAGATATCCTTTCAGTAAAGGTTGGCGTTACCATGATCTGACCAAACGGTCCCATCTTCATGATGTTCTGAAACTGTTCATACATGTCCCTGAGTGTAAACTGACCTAATAAGAGAGAAAGGTCACATCTGTTGGTGAAAAGGCACTGGGAAATATCTTAATGTAGTGTAAAAACACTGAATACACAAAAATATACATTCTTGTAAAAATAAGGTTCTAGTTACCATGTTTGAGCTTGTCAATTAGCTCCTCGTTGTCATCAAGCTTTAGTTCATTCACTT